CTTTTTTTTTTTAAGCCTGTGTCCCCGTTTTGCTTCGCCGCTGTGGTGTCTGTGTGCGCCCGGCTGGGTCTGTGTGGCGAAATTTGGCGTTCGCCCCCATAATTCTGACCCAGAAAACCACCCACAGCGTTCACGCTTGATTTCCTGCCCTTGTGTTTACTTCTTGCCCTCCTCCAAGGCAGGCAGTGTGAGCAGAAGCACATCCCCCAAGCACGCCGTCCCACTGGTGTCCCCCTCCCTGGAGCCAACTCCTCACCTCCACCGACACAGGGACCGCTGGGTCTTCCCCTTCTCTCCCTGGCATCAAAAGCAGCAACCCCACAGGGGTACTGCTAAATTTGTGTGTCCTAGTGGGGCCCACCAGTACCTCATGTCAGTACCTTTGCTCCGACAAAGACTTCTATGCTGGCAGGAGCAAGGGGTCTCAAACTGTGACAAGCGATACTTCCCAATTTCTAAGCACCGTGACAACCCTACAGTGGTGCCCACCCTACCAAAGTCCCCAGGGAGTAGCAAAATACTATTTATCCCCATTTTAAAGTCGGGGAACCAAGGCACACAGCGAGATTAAGTGACTGCCGAGTCGTGATGGATGTTTCCAGCCAGAGAAGAGGGCTCCCTCGATGCTCGCTAGCCTTGCTGCCACGGTTTGGTGCTTTTCTTATCTAGCACGCTGCACAGCTGAAGTGGCTGAGGATTTCGTGTGCCAGCAATTCGCAAGTAATATGTTTCTGGAGAGAAAAAGTTTAATGCTGTACTTCTCTTCACCTTCTTTTGGACATGATGCAACATCAAAACTTTTTTTTTTTTTCTTTTCTCTTTTTCATGATGATAAACAAGCATTTGACTCTGTCAATTTGTGTGTGGGAAGGGCAATCAGATGGCAAACTGCCTGCACAGTAATCAGTGGGACGAGAATTCAAGTGCCTCCTGAGCACAGTGTAAAATTCTTTCAGCAGCAGGAATTACTAACACATTTTTGAAGAAGGAAGAGAAAGAAAGAGTGCCCATTACAAAATAACCTACCCTGCTAGTCTGCTGCCTTGAGCAGTCCTCAGAACTGCAGGACCGAGGAAATGGAAGCACCACTTTTGAACTGGCAACCTTCACAAGAGAGAAGGCACCTAGGTTTCACCTGGTCTGTGTTGGGGAGCTCCCTAACTGTGCAATGAAATGGGGAAAACAGAAGGTGGGGCTGAGCTCAGCCAGCTAAAGGTTTGCAGTGGATGTTACAACCAAATGGGCTGCTGGCCTGACCAGAACCACCCGTAGAGCTCTCTGACTCCAGGAATATCCTCCACTGACATGCGACTCCCCCTTAGCCCAGGGCTGCAGGTACAAGATCTACAAGCCAAGGAGGTTGGATGGTGCGATAAACTGTATTTTCCCTGTAGCAAATGGCACTTCTTGTAAGTTAAGGGGAAAAAACAACCTATTAAGTGTAACCTTATCCCAGGAGTCCTCCAGCTTATCCCTTGTATTACAAGAAATGTTAATGTGAATGTACTGATGTTACTTGATGTCCATGCCACTTAGCCGTAAAGGGAGTGTGTCTATAGTGCCTCTTTCACTCTGGAAAGGTTGGAGATATGTTTATATTTGCACACCAGAAAGTTCACTGAATAAGCAGTTGGTTGCTTCCTGGGGGTAAGCCATGTCCTGTTTGTGCATCTGGAGAGCTGTGCTGAAGGAGGCAGCTCTGTTCTAACTCATCAGCAACCATTTTAATGCAGTACAATAATGAGGCTCGATAAGCCAGATGACCTTCCATCACAATACCCTATGGGTAGGTAAACCCATGGGATGCAGTTGGGTGCTGCAGACTTGTAGGGCTCTGTCGGGCACATCTGCTCAGAGCCAGGGCCTTCCACCTGTGCATTTGTTGCAGTCTCACCTCTGCAACCTGGAGCAAGCCTTGGCTTAGCCCACTTTTGGCTGGCTTTCAGACAGGTGAAACTGTAAACCTTTTGGCTGTCATCAGTTGTGTAACTTTGATATGTGCAGACTAAAATAAAAGACATGTTTTAAAGGTGTACAATTATTAATATTTAATTTTCTTCTCATACCTGTAGACTCTTTCATCAAATGCTATAGAATACGATATTGCTGATCACAGTAAGAATTTTACATGGATAGGTTTTGCCTTACCATAATAAGCAATTAGCGGTGTATTAACACTTTTTTTCTTTTTATTAATAGACTTAGTTTACCCTACATAACTAAAAATATAACTCAGCTCAGAATCTAGTTCAAGAATTATGGATGTTAATATATTTTGAACTAATAGGAATGATGAATATCTTTGAGTATTCTGAGACTTTGGGATATTGGATTGGATTTGAGTAACAATGAAAAGGAAGGCAGGACTGCAGTAGGCAGAGAAGATATTTTATATCATCAATTACCTCAAAAGGACAATGTATAATTTATTATAAAAGAGTTTTCAGAATTTGAAATAATCCATCAAAAGTCAGTAGAAGTTTAAATTTGCATAAAATATCTACAAGAGAAATGACCGCAGTTAAGCCTAAAGGGAGAATGGCCTTTCTAAGCCCTAACTAGAAAAAAACAGGAAAAAAGCCATTTCAGTGATATATTCATATATTTAAAGATATTACTATGCACAAAGCCCACACTATCTTATTGCATTGAGTAACCTGGAGCAATGAAAATAACATTCAGAGCCTCATTAGAAATCCTTTACCATATGACTAGTTTTATCTTCTGTGCATTTTCCTACATCATCTCACTGCACTATTATGTGTTTGTTTGGCATTCTGGAGTCTATATAGATTGAAGAAGATTTCCAATTGAGTTTTCAATATCATAGAAGTGTCCTTTCAATTACTTTGAGGGCTGGTGCAGGATTGCTGATCTATATCACCACTGATGATGATTTGGTTTTAAGCAGACAGCATTTATAACACGGATTGTGTGAAGTAAACAGAAAGATCTGCAGCTACTGTGATTCTCTTGAGACACTTATATAGACCATCTACATATGTGAAAATGACTGATGGGTTATCTAGCTCAGCACACAATAACCATTGAAACCACCCCTTAATCACTGCATTTTGTGTGGTGCTGCATTTTAAAAGCTCCTTGCAACACCTCTGCTGAGGACAAGCTGCAACTGCCCAATTCCATGTAACTGTGAACACTTCACAAATAATTTAGCCAAGGATTGTATGTACCACAAGAACAATTTCTCAGTTTCCTAATTTTCTTGCTGAAAGTTTTCTATTATTTTCCTTCAGTCTGTCAAACAGTAAAGGCTAGCCCCTCCTCAGCCGCTCTTTAGAAGCCTAAATGCATGCCAGGGTAAAGTAATATCCTTTATGTTGGAAGAGCACCATCATGCCTCTGAGGAACTTAACTCATGTTTCAAATACAAAACTCCCCCAGTACCATTAAGAAATATTCATGAATACATGGCAGTGATCTTCATCTTACAGATGAGGAATCTGAAGTACAGAAAAGTTAAACAACTTGCCAAGGATTGCAAAATAAGATATGAAGAGCAAAGAACATGGAGCCATTGATTTTTCAGTCATGTGCTTTAACAGTAGAAAAAATGCTCCTTCTGAGAATAGGAAAGGAAAAAGGGGGGAAATGGGAACAAGAAACTAGAGATGTCTTAGATAAGAATTAAAATACATTGGCAAAGTGGTATATGAGATATAAGGGGAAATCAAAGCATCTTCCAGCTGAAAGCTGAAATACATCCACAGAGGGGAAATCTGGGAAATGTGCATCCTCCTGCTCAAATGAACAGTCAGCCATTAAATGAAAATGTGGATTTGAGATCTATCAGTTGGGACATCTTCACACAATTTATACCTATGACCAAGTAATACTTGACTGCTGTTCAATATCCGATCACCTGAAGAAATCTTTACTAGCAAGTGTGAAAGACTGCACTGCAGGATATGGATGGAGAGGAACTGAATGTGCAGTGAAGACAGCCCCATGCATCTCGGCTGTCCCATGGCCTTCACTGTAGGGTACAAAATCATCCATCAAAGCTGATCCCGTGGAAGTTGCTTCTAAATGAGAACAAGGGAATTAGAGTTCTACACTATCTGCAAAGTCATTGAAAAATACATATATCTAAAACCAAAAAAGCCTGCCCACGGGTAAGATTTTCCAAAATATTCAACGCTGGCCCAAAATGCCTTCTTCTGGAATTTGCAACAAGAATGTATTTGCTTCAATGGGAACACAACTCATCCAAAACCATGCACTTTGGACAATCCCACAAAAATTATTTTTGATCAAATGTTTTCTTTAACTTCTAACAAGCTACACCTTTCACTATTGTCTTTTAGCAAACGAGGAAGCCTGAATTCAATCACTAAGAATAATGCTGATCTAATTTGTTTATTTATATACATGCATATTTCAATGGAAAAAACAACCCACTGCTATCATGTTCTTGTTTGTCCTCTTTAAAAAAGTGTCTTGACTATTCTTTTGGTACAAAATCAGTTTTTCTACCACAGATGAGTGATGTGTGTGTGAGAAGCTTCAAATTATTACTCGTCACAAAATCAGGCCACGTAAAATTTCTGCTGGAAAATGTGTCACGCAGAGTTGGATATTGGGTGTGAGATTAAAAAAACCACAACACACAAATGAAACAAAAAAAAAAGAATTCCCAAGCATAATAGATTCTAAAGGTGGGTAGCCAAAATACAACCCATTAGAAAGCCAGCCAGATCCTTTGGATTAAGTAGATATATTTTATGACATGCAGTCCTGGTGGATCATGCCCTCCAAGCCAGATCTGAACACTTCTTAACAGCTGGATGTGTCAGGCTTTTGAAAAATTGCTGCTCAGGCCACATAGTGAGTGGGCATGTTTGGACACCCATGTTGCAAACTGCTAATGTCAGAAATGCCCATGCTTAGAGCCAGCTATCTCTTGAAATAATTTATTACTCCTTTCTTGGGAGACGGAAGTCGAAAGCAGGCAGCTTTGTGGCAGAGAGAGAAATAAAGACAACAACTGCAAAACTGTGTTGTTTTTATTTTAAACATGCAAAATACAGTTCATGCATCTGCCATTTCGAAAAATCTCTCAGTTCATAGCAGATTAAACCAAAGACATTTTGGCTATCGACTCTCAATAAATATTTCAAAATGCTTTACAGTGTAAAGATAAGAAATTTAGCAAAATTTCAACAAACCTGTATAAAAAACAGATACAGATAACTTTTTATTTCAAGGCGACATGCTGTAATGTAAAGAGTTCACTTTTTTTTCTGGATGTCTTTTTCCTCATAAAAAGTTTTCAACAATACAACCGCTTAACAGATTTAAGCCTTCGGGCTACACATGCAAAAAAAATGGTTATTGTAGTTAAAAATCACCAAAACGTGCTATTTTTTGTTTCATTTTTAAGTACAGTAGTTGTAGACAGTAGCATTTCTCTTTTTTTTTTTTTTTAATTTTGTAAAAGAGTGCAGGCAGGTTCATGGAGCTAGTGTCCTGGAAGACTCGTACTCTGACACACATTTTGGTTTTATCCCCTTGCCATTGTAATAGTCCACGACTTGGTTTGGAACTTCAGCCAAAACGCTTTTTGCTAGAGCAGCTGGGGATGCCTGCAGGAAATGGTAGAAAACACAAGTGTTAACCTGTGTCTGTGCCAGAAATGCCAGGGCTTTCAGAGGCATTGGTGCCATGAGATCAAGGCAAGAAGTATGGTACAGAAATGGAAGGTAAAAAAGACTCAAAGTGAGTGGCACTATCGCTGGAAACTCATTTTGTAGGCTGCTCAGGGCACGTACCTGTAGCTGCCCAAAGTACATTCAAGCCAAAAGTGCTCTGCATGTATTTCAGATACAATTTGGACTCTTCTAAATTCAGGGCTAGGGCAACTCTTGTCCCAAACTTCTCTGCACTCTGGGAGAGCACCATTTCATGATGTTATAGTCTGCAAAGACTTCCTTCATCTGTACCCAGTGAGGGACCCTGCACAACTTCACAATGAACATGGGTAGAAGGGAGGCCTTCGTCACATCTCTGCTCTCCATTTAAATAAAAATATTTTGTTTGCATTGGAATTAAATCTCTGTCAAGAAAAGGTTTTGTGCCTAGGCTTTGAGAAGGTTTTAAAGCTCTTTCAGCAACATATAAACGCTGTGTGTCACCCAGAGGCAGCTCCTTTACGAACTGATGGCCCTGAGATGCAGAGATGGCCAGGGGCTTTTGCCCCAGGTGGGAAGGACAGGTACCCCTTGGCCACATGAGACCCTGTGCCCTCTGTTGACAGTGACAGTCACTGCCTCACACACGCCTTGACAATGCTTCAGTGGGGCCCGTGGATGTTTTATGGGCAACCATTAACCCACACGTGCTGCAGGGATTTTCTTCAGACCCTGTACTCATCACTGATAGAACTGGAGCCCTGTTCTTCCATGGAGCCCCAAAGCACCACCCTTCTGCCCTGTCTTTTGGATTTGCTTGTTTCTAGAAATTTGGGTTAGAGATGATCGAGGTCCCCAGACCCAGCCTACCTGACTACACTCCCTCTGAGCCCACCGTAAAAACACAGGAAAAATGCACATGCTGAAACTGCTGTGTTTATCTCCAGGTACAACACACATGGACCACACAGTGCAGCTCAACTGATGCACGGGAACTCCTTGCCCTGTGGCTGGATCCCATTTCTTCTGCACCCCAAGTCCTTTTTCCCCCACTAATGAACACTTTCCTTCTTTCTGTCTGTAATATTTTCAGCCAGGATTCAAAACTAGCATGTTGCAAAGTTGTATTGACCGACTTATTGCCCTGCTTTCTTTCATGGGGTAGGATCCTTATGATTTCAGAGTCTTACGATTAGGGTTACATAGGATGTACATGGTAAATATTTCACAGGCATGCTAAGCCAGAGGTGCAGAAAGCCCATGGGGTGTTACAAATTCCGCTATCAAATGTTACAGTACTACAAATACAAAGACCATGCTAGCAAAATTAGAAATACAATTATTGTTGTCTTTTGTATTTTGGTACTTTGAGTCACATATGTGATTAGCAATGAAAAAAAAAAATGAACCAGTATTTTCAGAATGAGACATTTATACCAAAATATTTGAGTAAGCAAAAGTCTGGAACATTTCTGCATAAACAAACTGGCAAAGCAGAACCCATATTTTGTGCGACAGCACAACAACTGTTCCCAGGTGTTACACAGCAACAGAACCCATTTATTTTAATTCTTCAAAGTGAAATGCATGTTTTTTCACAGTTGCCCTGTTCTTGCCTAAACCTCTCCGCACTGAAATCAGCAGAAAATGCTCCTTGGAGTCAGGCAAATAACTCATTTCTATGTTACCACTGAGAATTCCTGCGTTGTTTTTTTTTTAATCTCCCTCCCAAGTGTGGCAAAACTTTTATACCTTAACTTGCCTTTGTGCCATTTTACTAGAAATACAACCCTAAAAAAAAAAAGTGTGAAAACAGAGTAGGGAAAGAAGAATCCTGGGCCATCACTGCACACACAAACCCTAGCAATAAGGAATCCTTTCTCTATGTTAAAAAATGCTGGGCAGGGGCCACCAGTAGATGGACAACTGTTGCCATTAAAATATTTCACCATGCCCATGATGTCTCTTGGGCCTGAGGCTCTTTTTAATAGGTAGCATCCCCAAAATGGGGTTAAAGGTGATTTCCCGTTTAACAGTTTGGGTAACTTGTACCTTGTGTACTTTTTTTGAGGTAAAGCTCTCTTATTTCTAGACCAGATGGTGCAAAGCAGCATTTGTGTAGGTAAGAATTGGACCGATACCTTCTGAGCTAAAAACCAGTCTCAGTTCAGCTGTGCTGCCCAAGAGTTACCTTCACTGGTGAATGTTTTGCTGCAATGTTTTTGCCACTGTTTAAATGCTACGCTTGAAGAGCATCCTAGCAATAAACACCTCAAGATGAATAGCTCTCAACTGGTGGCTAATACACAACAATCAGATCACCCAGCAGCAGGAAAATAATCCCCTAATGACGATAATTGGTATATATTACAAATGGCTGTTGATTCAGTTCTATAGCTTCACCATGCTTAATCTTTAATTATGGCGAATAGTGCAAAACATTGCCTCTTGCAGTGGTGAAGAACTATGCTTTCCACACTCATTTGTGATACGTGTTATTAAGTCACAGTTGTTAGGCTTTGTAATTAAACACAATGCAGAGCGAAATACAGTCTTGTTGCCGCATCACAATTGTGCACAGTAAAAATAAATTTTAAGGGGAAAAAATCAGCTCTTAAAATAAAACTGTGAATTAATTGAGACAGGTGGTTTTCTTCATCTGCATTTCAGTAACTGTGAGCATCACTGTTATACAGTTTCAAGTGAAGGATGCTCACGTTGCTGGGGTGGTGATAATTATAGAGGGAAGAAACTCATTTGGGTTCAGAGAAAATATTTTCCCTTTCTTTTTTAGGATGCTCCCCTGTAGTGAAATGCACATATCACCTAATATGAAATGGGACAATTATTTTAAACAGTAATGGTTACCTTCATTTTTCAAGGCTCTGCAACTACAGATTTACTAAGAATCAATACAATTAAAGCTTTACTGAAGTACTCCTGACACACTACATCATGTATAAGATTAAACCCAAGTAATAAAACTCACTCTGTCTTGGGTCTTGAGCTAGTAAAACACTGAAGTGGGTCTGAAGTTTAAAGTATGTGATTATTTGTAACTCTCTGAGTAAAATACTTGTATGAGTGCTGTGGAGGATCAGAACCTTCCCTAAAGTCAGTCTTACAAAATAAAAGGTATTCTCTCTACAGGTTATTTTTTAGAACATCCTTTCCCCTCATTTTGATTTTCTCAGAGGGGCAGCTTTTGGATATATTATTTCTGATCTCTTTCAATAGATATGAGCTTTTGAGCTGCAGGCTGACATGAGAACTGAAGTAATGAAAAAAATATTGTTTGGGTTGACTCCAAATGAATGCTGGTTTACTATTCCAGCAAAACAAATAAAATTGCTCACACGTAACATCCCTCCTTCTGTCAATAGTAGAGGCAATATGGATTTAGGCATAAATAAATACTTGATTTAGCAGAAAAATCTATACACCCTATACAACTTGACTTGTAGTCTTTCTAATGAGATCTTTCAACTTTTTTTTTTTCTACTCAATAGCTGAACATCCAAAGTAGCAAAAGTAAACACAAGGTCCAAAATTTACAAAAGGGATTTGATTTTTAACCAAATATATGTTTTACTTAAAGCTGTCAATTGTAATACTCTGTTTTATGGTAATTCTTGTATATGATCAGAACCGATCTGACAAAAATCTCCCAAATTTGGGGTTAAATCTGCATTTTTCTGTGAGAAAAAAAAAAAAAAAAATTGAATCAAAACACCATACTCATTTCTACATGTGAAAAATTATCTCACTAGTTGGTAGAAAAGACACAGCCTTTTGTTTGTGCTAAGGATAAGTACGCAAGATAGCTGTGAATGTCACTTTGTTCAGAGAGATATTATTTGGGATACTTCTACAACAAAGAAATTCAACCAGAAGTGGCTGTTGTTATGGGCACTCATCCATTACACTGACATTTATTGAAATGCTGGAAGATCACAATAAACAGACTAAATATCAAGTTGCATAAGATATATCGTCTTTTGTGATATACCATATACATTATCTATCTCTAAATGTCTATTATCTCCATTACTGAGACAAAGGGGCAGTAAAATATCTCTATTTAATAAGAGCAATAATTTTTTAAGATCGCTATCCTCTCTCAGTACTGGGGTAGTTAATCTAAACCAACTTAAAATAAGATATACTTTTCATTTGACCAGTGCTTGCAATTAAAACTGCACGTAGGATCACTCGCAGGTTAACATCATAGGCACAATATATTTGGCACCCCACGAGAACTGCGCCTGTCAGTGTTAAACCTATTCAATCAAGGATTATTTCAGCTTTGTAATAAAGTCAGCAAAGCAAAACTAAAAATAACAAATGCAGCTGGCTTTGCCAGATCCTTGCAGAAACATATTTTTCAACTAATTGAAGGCAGGTCTAGCACTGGTTCATAAATAACTTGTCTTTTGACGCTTTTGCTGTAGACTACACACTTGTGATTATCTGATGAAGGAGCATCGTGAGCTATGAGCAGGTCATGCTCATACTTTGTTCCAGCAGATACTTACTAGGTGACTGAGCAGCACTGTCAACACAGAAATGTACGTATCTACAATTGGGAAGCAGCTCCGCAGCCATTTGGTGTGGCATCACTGATCTAGTAGCACAAGGTGAGTTTTATATCACGCGAGGATCCATTCTTTACATAAAGGTGAGGGCAAGGAGGAACACGTCTCTTTCTCTTATACCTCAGTGGAGTTTGTGAAAATAAGAAGGGTGTCTACATCTATGACAAATATGGCAAAATTTGTTTTGAAGAGAGAAAAAAGAACAACACTTTGAGAAGAGGAAAATAAAGTGAAGTTTTGGAAGTGACAAAAAGAAAAAAATAATGTTGTGTGGTAACAAAAAGTCCAGAAAAAAATAAAGAAATGTAAGCACTGCAAACCCATATGCAGACCAAAACCAACCCAGAATTGAAAACTTCTGTGTGACAAATCCAGAGCTAATTATCACTAGGGAATTAGAGCAGTTTGGGAAGGGCACTCTCATGATGAAAATGAGTCAGACACATAAAGGAATTTTCAAATCCAATACTGAGAATATCCTTCTTACACACCAGACAGTAATGAAAACCACTTGAATATAATGGAAGGAATGAGGGAAAGAAGGGCAGAGAAAGATGGAAAAAACAGAGGGAAAAGGATGGCATCAGCATTGTAAAGGAAGACAATGACAGTTCCACATTTCCATATAGAGGAAAAGGACCTGGAAAACCAGGCAGTGTGGGGGAAAGCTTCTATGGGTGAATACTGTCTGTACCTGGCTGTTGAAACCCTGGGACAGATGCTGCAATGTAGGGCAGGTGACTGAAGAGAAAAGGACATGGCCAAGGGATTATTTCGAATTTGGTAAGTTAGTGCTGGGTCCGTCACTTCTCCTCCTCCAGAGTGTCTCCTATAACATGATGGGCTCACACGGGAACAGCTGGCTGAAGGCGCAGGGAAACTTTTAGTAACACCACTTTCTTGACTGTGTTCTTTTGCAGAGTTTGGGGCAAAGTTTGGAGGAAACCAGGATGCTCTGGTTGGATAGTTCTGTCTTTGAGGACTTAGGGATCTGAATTTCAATAAGGAAACAGCCTCCTGGGGAACACTGTGAGTACAAATTCAAAGCCACTTCAGGGCTCTGTAGAAATAAAGGGACAGTGTACATGTATGGAAATGGAATAAAACAGCCCTAACAGAACAGATGAAAAGAGAATAGAAAAGAGACATCAGGAAAAACACATCAGGGAAATCAAACTAAAATCAGGGAGGAAATGGAAGTCAGGACTGGCACCACAAGAAGCTAATTTTCCCCCACCTTCACCTTCTTCCCCCTCCCCACCTTCACCATCTCACTGATGGAGCACATTTCATTCTGTATTTCTTTTTCCCCATTTCTGACACAATAATGCCATTGACCTACTGAACACTCCATTGTCATCCAGTTAGGCCCAGCCCCAGGGACCATTAACTACATGTCTACACGTTCACCCTTCTGCAGAATGGATGGAAAAGTCAGCTTACATGTTTGAAGTTCCTAAATGGCACAAACTGGACAATGTCTCGAAGCACGGGCTCGCCCTTGGGAGACCTCAGGATCCCATCATCGCCATCCAGCATCTGCATGTCACTAAAATCGGCGTTCCCCACCCCGACGATGATGACTGACATGGGAAGGTGAGAGGCGTGGACAATGGCCTCCCTGGTGTCAGCCATGTCTGTGATGACGCCATCCGTCAGGATCAGCAAGATGAAATATTGCTGAAGTTGTTGGATGAGAAGTAAAAATCATATCATTAGTTAGTCTTCCAAAGCTGCCTGCCTTTTATATAAAAGTGTTTCTGATAACTGTCAAACATGGACTTTTTTAAATAGAAAAGAGCGATTACAGTGACTCAAGTGTTAAGTGCACTTGCCATGCAAACCTCCTCAGCTACTAATTTCTCCTCTGCTGCAGTTTGGCTGTACTTCACATCAGTTCCAGGAGCTGGAGGGAGCCAAGGGATGCACAGTGCAGAAAAGGGGGATTCTGGCTGCTAGGGTAGGGAGAGTCTGGACTTTGGCTCGCAAGTCTGGAATAGACCTGAGATCCTCACTAGCCCTATTTTCCATCTGCTGCACAATCACTTCTGCTGACAGTTTCTGATTACATTTTTTCCCCTTGGGAACCAGTGGGAGGCAGGGAGGAATGGGGTACTGAAGCGTTACAAGCTTGTAGCAGAGCTGTCAGGGAGGTTATGACAGCGCTTTGCAGAGGAGCTTTGCTAACAGGCAAGTGGGATGGGTGCAGCCATCTGCAAACTGGAGGGTGACCCACTGGTGCCTGCGGGAGAAGCACCCACCACAGCAGGTTGTATTCTGTAGAGCAATGGGATCCCTGAGGAGAGGAAGGTCACGTTCAGGAAGGAATATATCCATTTTCAAACACTTTACATGGAGCCCTTAAGAGAGGTTTTCTCATTCTCTAAAGGAGATCAAGCAATTTTCTGCGCCTGTCATTTCCTTCCCAATACTCCAAGGCTCACCGGACTGGAATCAAATGGGCTATTACATCTTCACTCAGTAATGGGGAAAAGTAACTCTCACTTGGGTCCTTTATGAATAGCTAGGCAGCTGGAGTCATTTAACAAATGTACATTAATAAGAAAAATGTACAGTTCATAGAATTTGGTCACTCTGCATGAGCAAAACCAACACACAAAGCATCATTACAGTTTATTTATATGCAGCTATATAAACTCACATGGGGTTCTGTTCATTGTCTTCTGCCGTAAGTAAAACAAAACATTAGGCAAGATAGCTTTACCTTGAAGAATTGTGATATAAACTAATTTGATCTTCAAACGAACAGAAAGTGGGGAAGCTTAGGTTTAGGAAAATGAAGCAATTTATTCGATGTGACATAAGTAGTTCAGAGACAGCACTGGGAACAGAGTGAGCCACCTCAAGATTAAGTAGGTAAGAAAATACAAATATAGCAATTCCCCAGTGTAGGAACGAGACCCTAAATAGTAACAATATACCGTAAATTGTAATGAAGTGACAATCACAAACCCAAATTCATGAACAGAATAGTTTGGGAACTTCAAAACTTCTGCCTTAACAGGACTTATTAAAAAAAAAGAAAAAAGAAAAAAAGAAAAAAAAGCTCACAACATGAAGAAATCTTAGGGAAAGTTCCAGACCTGATGAGATGCATGTCCATGTGCAACTCTGTTCTGTTCCTATACATAATCATTCTTCTTGCTACAGTGTACGAGTTGTCTCTTACATCCTTGACTACCACAGCACTGCTCTACAATTGTAAATGTCTCAAACCTACTCACTCATGTACTTTCTCCCTTTCTCTTGCTCTTCCTTTCTCACATTTGTCTGGAAGGCAGGAGAAAAGTAAGCCTAATGCATTTCAAAGGTGTACATTAAAAACATCATCTATGTTTAAATCTTATAGCCCAAGAAATCTGGCATGGTGTTTATATCAGATGCAGACTAACAGGCTTGTCTCCTGATTTCCTGAAGGCACGTAATACTACATGTCAGTAAGAGTAAATTGAAAACTGTATTACTACTGTTTTCAGAGGAATGGTTAGAAAAGGCCCTAGCTGAACAACAACAACGAAGTTTTAATACAGTCTCTGCAAGATACTTGAAAATGGGTAGTCTGTGTAGGGAAACATTCAAACTCCTCTGCTGGTATAATCAACACTGCTGGGGCTTGACCCCTAAATTTTTGTAACTCTAGTCCTGCCATTTGTGTTTCCTCTGTGAAGATCTGGGTGTGTTACAGTCAAAGAGTGCTAAAAGCAGGGAACAGAACAGTGAGGGAAGAGTTCACAGTCGTGACTATCGAAGAGGTAAAGGTTAGATACACTACTCCTACCAACACAAACTCACGTTGACCTCTGTGAAGGCAGTTAGTAAAAACTGTTAAGGCTTGATTCACATACACTGAAAGGCCCTGTTGTGCTGGCCTACAGAGGACAAGGCAAGAAAAAAGGCAAACATAGCATTATGCCCTTACTGAGGCTTCCTTGGTGTTGGTCTCCTCCGATGCTGATTTTGCCACCTTCTGGATGATGGGAGCAATGTTTGTTGGCCCATACAGCTGCAGCTTTGGAAGGCAGCTCTGATAAGCCTCCACAACACCTTGTATTCCTGGCAGGGAAAGACATACAAAAGGCAAATAAATGTGGAGCACATCACCAATATCATGCTTATTTAATGCACAAATAAAAGGCAGGTTCCTAGTGAGTAAATTGCAAATATCATACAATTAGCAAGGGCTAACAACTTCAGATAATTTCCAAGAAGCTGCTTCTAGCTGCCTTGAAGCTAGTTTGTAACATATAATTCATTATAACATACTGCCCAGCAGTTTTCAATGTCTATTTTTCAGGTATCAGCTTGCAATGCAATAGGTTTCATTCTTCTCAGTTCAAGGTGTAAGTGATCACTTGCTGATGCATGCTAAAAGGGTAGACACAAATTAGAAACCCTTCAACACTTCTCTCTCCTCTTCAGATAAATATTTATTTCTGTTTATCATGGTAGTTACCAACAAATCTACCCTTTGCACTTACAACGTAAGAGCTGTCAAGAAATTCAAACATCTTTTCAAATACCTAGCTCCCTTGTGCTAGGAAAACAATTTTTCAGGGTAAATTTGCATAATTGCTCACAGGTTGAACTCGACCATGACCAAAAACTGTGAAATCTTGGAAGAAACAGAAGGATGCTTTCCAGTCTACAGAAAAAATGGGCTTAGTCAAGAAGTTTTGATGGAGAACTAGCTATTTATGGCTTTTTCATTTCAGGATATATAGCCAGACCAGTGAGAACAGACTTCTGCTGACACCCTTGACAGATCACAGAATGGAAATTGGTGTGTTCAATCATTGAGGAGAAGGATTTCTTGAAGTGATGTACATTAGCCTCCGCATTCAGAACTTCCAGCTTACCAGACCTTAAGGATTAAGAGGTCTAAAGTTGGAAAGAAAGTCATAGACTGAAGAGCTTTGTAAAGGATGCTGAAAGAATGCAATGGCTTCAACAAGATCTTGAGCCAGTTTGCACTGAGACTGGCTCACTCATGAGATTTTACTCAACCACATTTACAGGATATGAGTGCAGATCCATTACTAACAAATTACAGGGAGCTGTAATTACTTTACAGCGATATACCCGAACCTCCTACGATGAAATGGTGGAGAACATAGTCTTTTTTATGGATAGTTACAAACATATTCTTCCATTGCAATGCTTGCAGACAAAAGAACACTCTCTAGTTACAGCTGTGATGGGCTAAAATGTAGAGTAATGGCACAAAATTTCCCTTGGTAATTCCAGTGGCTAAATTGCATATTGCAAAACTGGCCCTTTATTAACTGCCAATTTCAAACCTGCTAAGGGCTTCATTACATGTACTTACTGGTCTTGCATGAAGGCCTCATAAATCTTCCCTAAGCTGCTGACAAGATACACTGTGTTTTTTTACTTATGCATTAAAATAATATGAGATAAAGCTTATTCCCTGCGGTCCATACAGATTTGCCATGCTTTGTGTCAGGAAGTGCTTGCATCTTAGGAAGCAACATGTTCTAGAAACATCTTTTTTTGTGTGCAATCTCAGTATAGTATCTTTTTGAAATATCTACTTTCCTTATATATCCAAATCCAACAGAGTATGTGAGTGGCTTACCTAGTGGCTGACTTTTCTTGGACTCTTATTTTAGATAGAAGCAATGTGCATCATTCCTCACAATTTGTCTCTTTGCATTTTTAATTGGAATCCACTTTTCATAGCTCTAATGAAATACATGTACAGTGTATGCATGTATACATGTGTAGAAAAATGCGTGTAAAATGCATGCACATTTATCACTTTCTTCTTCAGACAATAAAGACTATGAATACTAGATATAAGACTATATGTAAATAAGTAAATACTAAATATGACTACAAATACACTATACTATAAATACTAGAAATAAACTAAATATAAGACTATAAACACTAGGATTTTTTAGAATGGAAATAGTGATAGGAGAGGAAAGGTAAGAATATCCATATTTTATGTATCCCAGTGATCTTCATATCAAATATTCTCAGTTTACAACCAAGTCCTATGCATTTCTTCTGACCACACAGGTGTATCTACAACAGAATCCAAAGAGCTATTGCAGCTTGGGTGTACTGAGCTCGCCTTGTCTATAGACACTGTGTGGATTTACTAGGGACCACGAAACCCACTCATTACTCTGATTGAATATTTATCCTATGCTGAACTCTATGCTGCTTGGCAGTGCTCTCCTAAACTGCAGTTACAGGAGAGACTGTAATGCACAGGGTGGGTTACTCGCAGAGCCAGGCAGGGCTCTTACTAGCTCGTATGTGACCACTCAGAAGGAAGTTTCTGCTGACCACAGGATATCCCCATTTGCTAGTGCATGAGCATCAGCCTTTTTAGTAGTCTTGGTGGGTTTTCATGGGAGTGGTAGACTGAAACTCTGGAAGAAGTTTCCCTCATGTAGAATTAAAAATGTACTGTTTTCTTAGTCAAGTAGGATATGAGGGATTAACTGGAGTACAAAACACTCAGTCCTTATTATGATCACCCCTTTGTTCATTGAAGAGTTGACATTTTAATGTAATCCCTTTTCCATGTAGGGTGATACTTAACACTACTGTGTGTCAGTGAAAGCTCACTACTTCCACAAAGAAAGGGATTTCATTCCTCAGAAACAAATCAGACACATACTCTATACATTGGATCCAGCCTCTGTTTCTTGGCTTGAAGCAAGATATGCTTCAGCAATTTCTCTGTGTTTTTTTTTTGGCAAGTATACTAAATATGACAAGCTAAATAGTGCGGTCACTAAGCATTTTATCTCCCTTCCACTCCTTCCCCTAAGAGCATCCTCTCTTCACATGATGTGCTGGGGTTACTGCAACCTGTGCTACCTAATGCAGTTGAGAGCATCTACAAAAATTGGAGAAACATCAGAGAACAACTGGCTGTAGGAACTAATCAAGCATCCATTACAGGCAGATGATAAGCAAGCTGCAGCAGATGATTAAACAACATGTTTTCTGGTCTGTCTCCTTTTCTTGCTTTCATCCAGATGGACATTATTTTAAATGGTATAATTTAGGACACAGAAGTGCCTTTGTATCTTGTAGATGTGTGTATGAATGCTCTAAAATTTCCTGCCTGGTCTTCTTCCATGCTGCAACCTGCTTCTGCAGATTCTTAGCCCTAAAAGCCCTAAAACTTTTCGGGGATGGATTAACTTCTCAGATAACTGACTCTTATGTGAAGAACAAATAAAGATTAAATGCATAATAAAAACAAAGTGACATAAGCTTAGGCAAAGTTCACAGAGCAGCTCCTTCCTCTTATTTTTTTTTAAATCTCTCTCATTTCCACTGCTGTGTTTTCTTTTGCATACATAGGATGCATGAATAGGAAGTTCTTTACTTGCAGAGGGTTTGTCTGTCCAACCTCTGGCCTGCTGTTGGCACTATGTAAGTGTGACAGCCTTTTCAAATACCACTCAATCAATACAAATAATTATATAACAAGGTCAGTCTGGTAAAAGAATTAGCCTTGGATTCAAGAAAGGCAGAAAAGGGGGATTAAAAATGTTGTCATTACATGGACAGCTAGGGCCTTTTTGAGGTATGCAAAAGGTCAGAAATGTTCAACATTTAGACCAGGAAACAAAGATACACTACATGTATAAACATACTGTCACATAATGCTGTTTTAATTAACTCAGAAGTTTTATACAGATCAGGCCCATGTCTGTGTTCAGAAGCAGGCAAGCTAATGTATTTTAAAATATGACTTCTTTCCTTGGACAAGACAAAGTCATGAGGTCTGTTCCACACCTCATTTCCGCACCATCAGTGTGAATAAAATCTCAGCTTAAGCTGGCTCACAAGCTTACAGACACATCTAGATGCATACATGTAATTTTTGCTTCTTTTAACTCCTTAAAAAACCTTAAAAGCAATGTAAAAACTGTACAGACGTACTAAGCAGCTGTAGGATTTATGCTCAATTACATTTCAAGCATCTGACCTACAGAGGCTGGAGCAGTCCAACAATCCAAGTGTATCTACAAAGCAGGAATGCTCACTGAACCAAACACAGAGGTCTTGCATTTAAAATGTGTGAAATCTGAAATCTTTTAATGTCTCTTTTCATTGAATTGCTTGTCCTTTCTTCTCTTCCTCACTTTATACCCCAGCATGTTAATTCCCATCTTGAACACATTCTGCTGACTATACTAGAAAGAAAACCACTAATAAGCCTGAGAAGGGCTGGAAGGAGCAGCTAGAAACTTTGAATGAGAAGTGCATTTTAAAACACCCATTTCAATGTTTGGAAGGGAGCAGAAGAATGAAAACTTATATATTTTATACAGCAATGATCATCTAGCCAAGACTCTCAGATACGTGTTAATTTAAGATTACTTGCTTATTTAGAGATTTTTTTCCTATTATCCTCACCTTTTACAAAATGTATGAATCCTGGCAGGAGATTCTAGAAACAGCGTCATCACTGCAGACCTCAAAAATACATGACATAAACCAAAATCTGATACAAGAATCTGTCCCCTGACTACTGAGGATTAGTGACTGTTGCTAGAACACACCACTCTTATACATTAAAACAGCTCTCACACTAGTCCTCAGCTGCTTCTCTGACTCCTGTGCTGGATCTCACTGGGATGACTGGCAGCAGGCTACCGGTGCTATAGGTCTTGCCGAACAACTGGCTGTAAACAGAGGGAGTCCTTTATTACAGAGGTGCACAGTGTGCCTTTATCTTTGCATGTCCTGCCCTTAGTTGTGCAAACTACGTTTCTGTAGCCGAAGATGTGGAGTGAACCCAGAAAATATGGCTCTAGTTTTCAGCAATGCCTAGTAATCTGGGGACATGCAATGCTGAATGTCCAACATGGTGTACGTTCCGTGGGACCTATTTTTCAGGACATTAATGCGTGGCACTTGCTACGGTTTCTAAAGCTAAGCCCACAGGTTTGGAATCTGTCAGGTTTAGAAGCTGTTTTCTTTCAAAACAAAACAAAACAAACATTTTGAATAATACTCAAGGGATATGATAAAAAATACAAACACATTTTGCAGACAGCGGAAAATACAACAGTTGGTCTGTTCTGGTGTGTTACCTGCACATTCTGGGTTGTCTTCGTTGAAATTGATTGCAAAATCATGAGAGACCTGCAGATAAATGGAAAGAAGAGAAGAAGACTGTAGTTGGAAAAATTATTCCAAGAGGACTTGTGGTTAAACACCCTTTATATTCTTTCAGTGTTGAACCAAAGAGATCTTTCAAGCTTTCAGCATTAAGTGTGATGTACAGTCCCAGTTGGAACTCCCCGCAAAAACAAAGTACCACAGATGGAATCAAACTTGTCAATAACAACAATGAAGGAAAAAAAAAGGGAGGGGCGGGGGGGGGAGAGAAGTAGGGGAAGAACATAATGAAAAAACACCCAAGTGTTTGAGAAATCACAGAAATGTGGTGTCAGGATGGGGCTACCAATGTCAGCCACATGGGACCGATTGCTAAGGAGAGATTTAAATGCAAGCTCTCTAGATCCACATCTCAGATTGCAGAATCGCTAAAGCCGGTTGTGTTACAGCATTGATAGCACAAGCTCAGCACTATTCTGAATCCTCCATTCACACGTGTGAGCAATTTCTCATTTGAAGGCCATGGGATTACTGTGAAAATAATTTATTCTCCAGAGAATCAAGGAAGTCACTTAGACCCACAGTGAAATAATAATAATGTAAGAAATGTAAGAAGCCTAAGCTGGTTAAGAAATTAGAGTAGGTTTGGGGGAAATTAATAAGAAAAAAAAAATGATTTTTTCCTTAAATTTAGTAAACATACCATTTTCTTATGCTCCAAATTTGTCTGTAATAAAATACCCCAGAGATATTTTCTAAAAGAAATGACTGTGAATACAAAAATGTTGCTGATTTTCTAATAAAACAATATATTGTATCCTTGGAGGTTTGGGAAAATAATACAAGACTTCTGTATGCATAAATAATACAAGACAATGTAAGTCTCAGTTTCCAGGCTTCCTATATCTGTCTTCACTTAGAGATCTGCAACCACAGCACAAATCTATTGGGATTGAAACTTTCCTTAGATGCACTTTTCTGGTTCTAAAGTTTGTTCTTGTCTGCTTTGCTTCCCAGATTCCTTTTTGCACCGTTCTTTGACCACTGAGAAGGCTTGATTCTTCTCAAGCTTCCTGTTCTCTTCAATTGTCTTGAATGAAGCCCAAATTTTGTCTTGCAATGCACAACGTACATATATTTTTTGGTTTGCAAAAATGGATATAGCTGAAACTTGAGCAGGCAATTTGCCTATTTTTAAGTTGAGCTCAGGTATATCATTCCAGAGTCATGAGGGCATTCATACAGCTAACTCCAATTACGTACCTTTGAGACTTTATAGATTTCTGTAGAACATTCAGAACAACTGCCAGCAGTCCCAGTCATATGGAAAGAAATCTGTTTACTCCCTGTTCAATGGAACATGGATTATTTGCAGAAAGAGATTTATTTATTGGATGTCACTGTTTTATTTGCTAGTTTAGATGACTTCCATTTCTAGGACATAGACAGCGCAGAAATTGATCTATGAATAGATGCTATACACAGAGCACATCAATAGTAACCACTCTTTCCTATATGGTTTGAAAAGATTCCTTAAAGCCAGCTAACTTAAATCAGTCTAATTTTCCCCAGAGTGTGATGTCAAATGTGCCAAATGTGGTCTCTAGCTGGAACTAACCAGAAGCTTTATCATCACTGAAATGTTCATCTTAAAAGTGGCTCTTAAAGCGTACATAACAGGAAAGGCACCAACAGAGCTAAACTTCAGGAATAACTTTGGGACTGCATCCACAATCCTGGTAGAGTTCTCTGTGAAAGTCAAAATTCAACCATACAAGTGGATTTGTTTACCGAGTAAGAAAGATATCAAATATATGATTACAGAGACGCTTGTCTAAAGGTGAAGTGGTATAGGTTGGCTAATTAGAGCCACAGAGAGTTTGTTATAGAGAAATAGTATTTTCCTATCATATGCTGTTCTTGCTCCCAACAGTGAGGTCTACCATTACTTGTTAAAAGCTTAAATAAAGTGGGACTTCTACCACGATGGGAAAGGACTGAAATAAGAACTCACCAAAGAGTTGTCACCCAGCTTGGCTCCAGTTTGGAATTTAGTATGACTATACCAAGCATCAGTTGCTTCTTTCAAAGGATTTTAAATTGATTATTCAGGCTACCCTTCTTGGCCATGGGAGATAATGCAGAAAGTCACTACGCGTGTTCCTTGTTGAGCAGGCACAGAAGAGCAGGGCTGTCAGATATGCTTCAGAGGTGCTCCAGAGCACTTCTGTCTGGCTGCTCTTGTATGTCTCCTGGCACATTTTGCCCAGCTGGTATCTGCCAGCCTCATGACCAGCTGCAGGCCAAAGGTAATTGCAGCTGTCAAGAATGGTTGTGTGAGTTTTCACTCACTGATGATTTTTTTTTTTTGTTGTTGTTGTTCAATAGCCTTTCTTTTTCCTTTAGGCTTTCTGTATTTTGTATTAACCAGCATCTTAACAGCAAGAAGGACCATGGTGCACGTCTGTGTATTGCATGCTGATTCTTCCAACGTTGTGCATCTTCAGTGATTTAATTTCTTTATTCCTAATGCATTTGAAATTATAGCAGAAGAAGCACCACAATTCTTTTCCAGAGCCATGAATACAATACTTTATTCACACTAAAAAAGCATAGGCTGAATGCTTTTGTTACTATCCTTTTTCAGGATCACGCTATACAAACAACTTATATGGTTCAAAGCTACAGCACCCAGGCTATTATTTAAGAAAAATGTAGGCAACAGTTTGGTCCTGTGATGCCTAGAATTCAAGACAGACCACACCAGAAGAGACTTCAAGCACATGAGATGTACTGAAGGCATTATCGAACTCCAGCTCCTACCTGATAGGAATCCATGGAAAGCCAAACCATGTCAGAAGCTGCACTTGACTCTTAGGAGCTTTGGATCTAACAATCAGTGCTATTGTTTTAAACATAGTAAACATGGTGAAAGGTAATGAACTACTATATTTATATATATATATATATAGTTTAGTTAAACATTCAAGGCCTTTGAGGATGAAACTCAAACAACACTGATGCCAGATGACCAAAAGTGGGTATACTAAATGGCATCATTCTAATATTGAATGACACAGCCCTTATGCACTTTCAAAACTGATAAGCTAATGGGGAAAATGAGGCAAAAGTTTGAACATCTAAGATGCTGAAGACTAAGAAATTCTCAGGGGAAAAGTAACAAGACACTAGGCTGTTCAGCAGCAATCTGCTAAGGTCATTTGTATGACTGACCAATTTAAGAGTCAGGAAATCCTGGAATACATCACACCATACAAACACTGAATGACTGCTTTACATTGGTATTGGGTACGGAGAACTTTGCAAAGAAGTGCAGACTATGGTCTGTGGTGAAAGGCAACTTCATGATGCAGACTATGATCTGTGGTGAAAGTCAACCTCACGATAAGGAATGTCCCTGCAGAACTGTGACTGTGTCACAGGCTCTGGATTAAGTTTCAACTATGTAGCTGACCCTCTGCTGAGCCCTCCTGTTCGCTTTTAAAATCCATCCATAAAAGGAATAGAGAGAGAAATTCTCGAGTGCAGAGGTGATTACGTGTGATCAGCCTGGCATAGCCTGCATCGCTGCATAAAACACCAGTCAAAGCCTCCAGCTAAGGACACTTACTCACACTTGGCTATGTGTTAATCTTTTTCCTCTACAGGACTCCAGATAAATTATTTAGCAGATACCCTCATGACTGTGGGATTATTAAAAGACAGATGACCAGGAAATTTTTGTACCAGGCACAGATAGTTTCTCAGGTAAATCTCCAAGGGTTTTAACAAGAAAAATAAGCAGCATCATGATGTCCATAAGTACACCAAGATGTCCACTACAACAATAGCATTTCTGAGGATATATCAACCAAATACATGATCTAAAATATTTTTGCTAGGGCAGATTATGGCAAAATTTGTTTTTACCACCATACGGTGCTTCTATTGCCTGTATGTGTACACTGACAGTCACCTGCATACAGAAGGGCAGTTGTCCACCAATGTGACAGTATCCAGGAGACTCCTGCAGGAGTCATAACCATAATTCCACATGTGTAGGCATAGTCTAGTGGAAAATTTACCTTGATTTAACATAGCAAGTAACTTATTTCCCTCATGTTGGGATGAGATTATAGTCACCTTCATATAGAAACCTCAAAATGCAAACAAAAAAACTTATCTTGGAATCTGACAAATAATAAAACCCCATAAAAGTGACGGAGCAAATTGCCAGAAAATTTTTGCTCTACACAAAGGCATTTTATGTCACATTAAAATATTCTATTTTGGCCTCTATATTTTTTAAATCTTTTTTACTCTACCTGAAATTTCATTCAATTTTTGAAGCAAAATGCTGCTTTGACTCAAACGCAATGGTTTTAATTCACTTGTAAATGTTGAAATCAGATACCTCAATTCTTCTGAAAAACTAGTAAGCTTTTTTCGTTTCCCTTCCTCTAGATTGTTGAGCTCATTTAAATTTATCTCCCTGTCCCAAACAGTTCCAGCTGTCCAGAAACCTCTATAGTGCTGATTCTGGGACTGCCTAACAAACAATCCAACAAATTCAGTCATGTGTAGGAATGCTTTCTTACTCATTCAAATGGATTGTCAAAAATCTATGAACAATAGATGCATACAAGCATAAATGCTAAGAGGCACAATATTGAACACTTGTCTGTGAATAAATTGAAAGCTATTAAGCTACTGCCAGTCTGAAAATTAAATACTGAATGCCTGCATATTTTGCAAAAGTTTGAGACACTAACAAATTTAAAGAATCATTGCTCAAAAGCTATTATTTTCAGAATGCTCATTAATCAAATAGTTTGGGAGCTGGACAGCTTGTGTCTCTGGCTAAGACCACATTGCAGAAAATTCTGCCTGGCAATGCTTGCCCATTGATTTGCCTTTGTACTTGACTTTTGAGCATGCTGCTCAGCTTCCACATCTGAATCCAGGTTGCAGGGAGAAAGTGACATTATACTTTTTTTTTCTTCTTCTTCTTTTGGTCTCTTACACATCCTTTTACTGTGTTTTTTGTTTGTTTGTTTGTTTGTTTTTGTTTTTAAGGTTTGCACATATTTTTGCCCTAAAGATCTTGGAATGTGTGAAGATCACAAAGGCCATCAGCTAGTCCTAAACAGCACAGATCATAATGTGGAGACTTGTTACTATTGATTTATGCTGAGTAGTGAGTTACAGGCCTCATTTTCCTACAGCTATGTACATAAGTATGACATGAATTAGATCCTAAATCCACTACATCTACTCACTTTGCCCACTATTTTTATCAGGCTGCCTTCCTCTGGCTTTCTCTTACTGTGTTCTTGCCACACATGGGTTGGCCAGCTTTCATTTAGACTTTTATGGAAGCTGTGTTGTTTTACCGTTGTATGGAGGCTCTCATGGTTACTTAGAAACCTTTGGCAGTGGGAGTCATTTCTTCCACAGCTCTAGCAATTTGTTGTCTAGTGGAAGAAATAAAAGATAGCAGCTGCTGGTGTGCAGAGACCAACATGGATATGAGCAGGTTAGATCATCTAATAAGGACTGGAGACTCGAAAGCAGGCACTCTAAATTAAAATGAAAAGCTGATTTATCCACATGATGGGGTCAGAACTTAGACATTCTCATAATGATACAGCCTGGATTTGAAGATATGAATTATAACAGTTATGACACTGCTGTCCTTTAATAAAAGATATGTATGTCTTGTAATAAATTTGACTGAAAGTATCAAAAGAACATTTGAATAGCAAATGATGAACACTGCTGCTGTAGTGTCTGTACTGTTTCTGTATTTTTGCAGCAGAAGAAAAGAAGTAAGGACAGACAAGTTGCAAGCACTTGTTTGTTACTGCTACTTTTAATTACACCAGTTTCTTCACTGTTTCCTATGCATCTTGGCTACGCTCCACATAAAGCACTAATCATTGTTGGCTTTAAATTAACTTCATGATACCAGCGTAGACTAAATTATTGAAGGATTTTCAAGATTATTGGTCTTGACTTATTAATACATTCTGTTGAGGCTGACTCCTCACTCTCTTAGAGGGCATATCTTTTGATTTAGATGTGCAGCCAAAGCCAAGGAGGGACTCTAAAGGGCTCACAGAGTTTAGGTAAGATGACAGATATTTGTATGGACTGTGAAGAGAATCACAGGGAGGGATTGAACAATAGCACAGATGAGTGTTAAATCCTAATCCAATTCCAGTTGGAAGTGTCCATGATAGACAACAAGCTAATTACTTTTCCCCATCTGTTGCACAGAAAGACTAGTCCCCCTGCAAATGTGGTTCTTCTCTTCTTCAAAGTTTCACTACATTAGTAAGCTGATGTCAGAACATTTTGTCTTTGTCATTTTTTTGGTGGCAATTTTCCACAGTGGAGATTAAAGATGTTATTCTGTCCCTTGCTTGTGTTTCCATACTTTGAGACTTGTTTTGTTTACTCACATTCATGTAATTCACAAGCAAATAGCTCCACTTTAAGTTACTTTTCCTGAACTTCTCAAAATGTGAAGGTCCTGATTCATACATTTCCTTGCTCTGAAAGGTTAGTAACATACAGACACATAAGGGCAGTTCTTGCTATTGTGCAAGACCCTTCATGCATGTTTGGGCTACAAAGTTGAAAGCAAGTCTCTTACTTTCTTAGGAGTACTTGTCAGTAAAAGTATCCAAACGTCAGTTCTGCCCATGCAGTAGAAAAGTTGGTGTTTCTTGTTATAGCAATATTTGGTTACAAAGAACCCCTGAAATCACTTTCTGGATGACATGTGTCTTTCATCTTGCAACTGAAATGCTCTCACAATCAAATAACAAGACTGTTGTTTGGGTGTAACAAAGTTGGTACATTGCCAATATGCTCATAAGACCCAGGGCATGAATGCCACCAGCTGGTTACTTTGGCTGAGAAAGAAGCTGTCCTGTACTGTGAATGCTCAACTGCCATCAAGCAAACCAGTGAAAACACTTTACCTGACACAGTAACATCTTCCTTCAAGCAGTCCTTCAGATAAGTATGTCTCGTAACAGCTGAAAGAATTGCAAGTTTTCCCCTGTGCAATGATGGTCACCTCACAGGCAGTACCAGATCCAGCCCCTTCCACACCACCAAGCTGGTACCTTTGTTTAGGACAATCACAACAGTACTTGACATTGTCACTAATGGCCAGTACTGGGCCTGAAAAGGCAATCTGGTTGTGATGTATAGACCAGCTCACCCAGTGAACACTGCTACACAACCACCAGTAGAGACCTATACATTTGTGGCAAAGGGATGAACGTTTGACAAGTAACTACTGTGTTTTACTAATGTGTCTGGTAGTAGAGGCTGCTAAGGATGACGTATTCTCCAAAACACTCCCCCTCATACAGCAGAGATGGTTATCAGCTATAGCAGTTGCAACAGATACGCAACAGATACAGATGTTCCATATGCATTTACCACATTAAAATCTCTGTCAAAGTTCTGGAAGCTGCCTCTGATTTTGGGAACCATTAACACTGGTGTTACTTTTCAGGATCACTGCACTGCAAAAACCCTGTCAGGTACAGTCCACTTTTACAGTCCACTTTTTCATAACAGTGCTTTTTTGCTTAGAAGTCAATGATGTTTAGACCTACGTTGACTTACCTTAGACACTTGTTTGCAGGACACCTATCAAATTTGCTGTATGTCACTACTGGTATTTCAAGCAGATAACAGACCTGCAAGCCATGAGAACACACTGGTACATTTTTATTCTCACCTGGCCAGTGTTCACCTCTCAGCTGCAGCGACAGCTAAAAGAAGCATCTCAGAGCACGGGATTTGGATGAAGTCTGCATGATTGCAAGTTCAATGATGCTCTTTTCCAGACAGTATCTGGGTTGAAAAATTCCCAGCTAGTTTTTGGTTACTTATTTGTGCAGAGCTACTATTCTGCCTACTCTTACTCTGCATGTGCAACACACGATTTGAACTTCTGTCTATTTCTCCTTGTGCCTTTTTCTGTTGGACGCTCCTTCTTTTACTCCACTGTCCAACTCATTCCAACACTACCAGGCTGCACATTTATGCTACCCACAATTAGTTGCATCATCACACCAGATCACTCTTATTTTGTTTTGTTCTGCTTTGTTTAAGAATACCACTTCTCTCTAGCGTGGCTCTTGTATTTCTCTTCCTGGTATTGAAGATGTCTACCACAACACAGAAATTTACTACTGAGCAAAGCTTTTCTATGGTCTGTATTTTCCGGTAGATGTTGAATCTCTTAATTGTAAAGATGACACGCATAGACACTAGGCCACTCATTGAACCACATCTTACAAAAATGGGTTCTGCCAAAGCAGGGCTCACAAAGTTTCAAAATATTTTTGGCAAGCGCTGTTCTAAAATTCAGTTCTCCTCTTGACAGACTAACATCTATTAAAAAAGCTTTGCCAATACCATGAAATATTTTGGCTGTAACACACCTATTTTAAGTTTAATCTCGATTTCTGTTTTTAGTGAGGTATCACTGGATGAGAAAACCAAATGAAACACAACAAACAAATGGAACTGCTTCCCCCAATCCTTGCTCTGCATCAAACCATTTTTCCCTTATTTTGTACCTCATAAACCAAGGAAATGAGAAAATTTCATTTATGCACCTACTTTGTATTCTGGGGGTATCCTTGCTCCAAATCCAAAGGCTGGGAACATTTTGTCACTGGAAAAGAACAAAGAAGAGTTCCCACAGAGAAATGCATTTTGCTGCAATAAACATTTATTCTTCTGTAAGCATTGATCAAAAATGCAAAGCAGCACAATGGCACAGAAAAGTCTTTTAGGTGTAGAGTCTTACGTGGCAGAATGGAAGGGTTACGTATTAGAGAAGGTAGAGTGTGTGCTGGCCAGATGGATAAGCAACGTGGGAGATTTTTCAGGTGAACTCCTAGTATGGAAGTTAAAAGCACTTGGAGAACACCAATGAATCAAGATATCTCGCACTTCTCCCACAAATGCAATAACAGACCCATATTACCTCCTCTTCTTCACTATCTGGTTGAAGTGTGAGAGGGAGTTGTCTAACAGCCTGTGACAACAGATTTATTTAATATAAATATGGATGTGCTCCCCCAGCTCAAAAAATGGGTTTAGCGAAGAGATGACTGTAATTAAAAGTGTTTGCAAATGCGGGTTCTAACAGTTGTCCAGGTGCAAAAGAGATTTCCTAAAATATTCAAAGATTCACCCCCAGAAACCTGCAGGTTCTGTAAGGCTTTCCACCTGTATCGTTAGTACTCCCACTAAAACATGAAATTATTTTCATCAGGTATAGATTAACTGATATCCCAGCAAATGTGGTGGCACGATAAATTTGCTTCCAAACACTATGGTGAGGTTCTTCCACTCCAATTAGATCTGTAGAGACAAAAAATCCTGATTCAGAGGACCTGGAAGCTTCAAGGCTGTTAATACCCTTTCAGAAATGCAGTAATGTCTCACACAGCCCACGTCCTGTCAAGTTGCCTCTTCCCAGATGGCAATGTAGAAAACAACAAGCTGTAAGGAATGTCTCGTCCCTGAGTCAGCAAAGCGTTCGATCACACACTTGGGGTTAACAATTCACCCAAACATATGCTTAACTCCAAACACATCCTGAAGCCCCTTTGAAGTCACTGAACTGTGCTCCAGTGCTCCGATGAATCAAATCCCTCATAGGTTTATCTGATCCTGCTCACAGAGTTTCAGGGCCTTTGGAAAAGTTGAGTTCCTGTCACCATTACTGACACTTTCTGAAATCAAAAAAGGGGCAGCAGCTTCAAGTGACTTTGTGTAGTTCAAGACATTGCCACACCAAGTGTCAAGTGAATAACTCAACTTCCCAGACATACTCAGGACAGAAAACAGCACCCATTAAACTCACCAGGCCATGTTGTCTGGTGTAGTCTGTGAAAAGCACCATGATATTTCTGATACAAGCCAGGAAAAATGAGAAAGAAGCCCCCTCCCACCCCGAAGCTGGAGTTGCCAACTAGAGAACAGATAGAGAAATATTCAGTAGATCACTGGGAAACAGTAATTATTGTCGTCTGATGGCTCAGCTCGCACAATTGTTGTTCTGCTACAAAATTTAGTTGCCACATAAATCTTAGGAGCACAATACTGTGTACCATATGTTACGCTGCGTGACAATGGATCTTGGAAAGGAGGACTAACATAATTTGCATGGTAATGAAACATTTTTTTTCCCGAGATGTCAGAAACAAAGTAGCTGCTGACATTTAATGCTAACCACCTGCTGATAGCTTTCTCTTTGATTAAACACCCCCGGAAGTGGGGAAGCCCTTACAAATAGATACAGATGAGATTTCAGGCACACATTTAGAGGGCAAGAAATAGGAGTCCATTAGAAAAGAGTCTGAGGGGAGAAAAAACCTTGTTTTATGTCAACAATTAAGCCATGGTTGCATTAGAGAATCAAGCCCTGTGGAGCTACAATTTGATTGATCTTGGGTGAGAGCAAATAAAGACTAAAACAGTTTTACTTAGGTGGAATGTAAGTAAGTGTCCAAGTTCAATAATGCAATCCAGAAAGCTGACATGGGCTGCAATTACCCAGCCTGGGAGATGCCCAAACCCATACAGTGACCACATTTGTCCTGTAAAGTTCCTTGAGTGTAAGTGTAGGGAATCTGCAGCTCCATCTTCTGTTTTGCTGTAAGTCAGAGACTTGCCCTGAGTGATAGCTGCAGCAGACTGTATTCTCCTGCTGGCAAGACTCCCCCATTCCCAAGCACCCAGTGTCACATCCCCAACAGGAAGCTATTCTGCACCAGAGGGCTCTTCTACCACATCCTCAGGACGCCTGCCTCCATGTCTGAATCTCCCATGTCTCCTTTTTGAGTAAGAGCCATGTACTGCTACAATTGCTTTGAGACAGAGTAAAGCTTGATCATGCGCACCCTCAAGACGGGACTCCACATGACTACATGAACTCCTAGAGAGAAGGGGTGTCCTGACAGCTACTCCTGTGCTTAATGCCTTCTCTCATGTCACTCAGGTGCTCAGTGAGCTTGGCTTCCCCTTGGGAAGATCCTCCTTTTCCAGACTTCATACACATAGCTCTGGTATTCTGATTCAAGCTGCTGCGACCAAGGAATTAACTTCCAAATGTTCCCAAAGGTTGACCTTTAAGGGAAGGAATAAGGGAGCCTTTTGATCATCACAAGTGACAATCCTTGCACAAAATAGATGATTATGGTATCCTCTGACAACATCTCTAAACTTGTGGCTGGCAGCTTTCAGAATAAATTCCAATTTTAATGTAAACAACAGTTTTCCTCCTATCACATAAAACTAGGTGTTTAGCTAATATAAATGTCTCACTCTGAAGCAAGTACACTATTTAATGGCTCACTGACATTCTACAAAGTAACCCTCTCTAGTCTTGAGATACAAAGACATGGGCATTGTCAAATCATTGCCCTCAGGCCACTTAAGGACTTTTGACCTGTTTTGTTTAAATGTAGCCAGAGAGTCCTTGGTACATGCAAGTAAATTGCCAGCACTGCCCTGCTGGAGACAGACTGCCAACAGGACAGGAGGGAAAGTGGAAAAACAGAGAGATTCTACAAAACCTCAAATTTACAAAATCAATCAAGAAAAGGTGGATCCTGGCAGAATCTTTACAAAATTACTCTCTCGCATTGTCTTCACACTTTATACAGTTCTGTGTTTTACACAAGTTCCCTTGAAAATTAAAACTTAGCATAACTTCTTTTTTAAAAAAATGAAGTACTTGACATGAGGATGAGAAGAAAAAAAAAACAAAAACATTGGATTTTGACTTTTATATTTGGTTATGTAAGGGCTGTGACTAGTCATGCAAGCATAGATGTATATGACTGCTTGTACATTTTCCTGTCAAACAGGCATATATTACTGAAAGATACCAAAGACTGAACAGATCTGGATTATACCCTGAATGTAAAATCAAGGACCGTGTTCAGGTTCAGTGTTTGTATTGGTAAATGTAAATTAATGAGCTGGATTAATGTCAGGGCTAAAAGACTGCAGTCTTCTAAGCAGATATATAACCAATTAAAGACCCTGAGTAACACCTCAACAGTAACATAATGCACAGGAGAGAATGACTTCTGAAAATATCCCGTATTGTCCTTTTGGAACAATGCTCAGTTTTAGTCACCCATTCTTCAAGCTATCTAGTGGAAACAGAAGAAGCACAATGACAAATCAATACATTAATAGGGGCACAGGAGAGAGCTTTCAGTAAGCTGTACTGCACAGAAGGGAGAAGAGACTAACAAAGGAAATAGTAAGGTTTTGTAAATTGGTAAGTGATACAGATAATGATATCTTGTTCTGTTTCACTAGGAGGCCAATGGTAACTGGAAGGTAAGAAATATATTTAAAGATAAGAAGACAAAAGAATGAACATTCTAAAAATCATGTCTCATTAACTGCTGGTGCCCTCTGACATAAAGTATCATTGAGACCTGGAGTTCAGCTTTATTCTGAGGATTTTCTTTTCCTAGTAACAAGGAACAGTATTTAGATGAAATTGCTTCACTGGGTGAAATTATTTTATAATCAGGAATTACAGAGTCTTTTGCAACTTCCTGTGAAGCTGCTGGCTTAGATGATGCTGGAGATAGAGCTGGCTACTCATCAGTGTGACAACACCTGTACTCAGAAAGGAAAACAAGAGCTGCCAGGACTATGTTATCTGGAGATTAGTTCCTTTTTAAAATCTAAATTGGGAATCTAATTTCTTATTGCATGGAGCAAATGTAGGGGGAAAAATGGCCTATATTTTTCTATATGCCACTTATTCATTCTGAAAAATGAACTTCTTGCTAGCCACACAGGTGGCTTCTTAAAGAGCCTCAGCATGAAAACCTGCTCACTTTATACTGGAGCAATATAGTTGCAGTAGTTGTAATAAAGATACAGTTAAAGAGGAAGAAAAAGAAACACTGGGAATATAAAAGCAACACTAAAAACCCATTTTTGGTTTCAAGCAACCAGGAATCTTAAATTGGCAGCTCCTTGAGATTCTTGCAAGGAATATACCTGTTTAGCATCCCTGGGTATTAAGCTGTCACTTGTAATTTCAGTTTGGGGTCAGAACAGAATTACCAGGAAGATATTTTTAAAGTGCAACACTAGATGCAGCAAAATCAATTACTTTGCCTTTCATTTTCAATTCCAGTCTTAAAAGAATAAACCGTGAATCTTCTCTGGTCTACACGCTTTTCCAGTGATAAAATTAGATATTTTTCCTCTGTTAAAAAGAAATTTGAAATTGCCATAATAGAAGGGGAATACCTGTTATACATTTATTGAGAGAAGTGTGAATGGGGTGGGGAGGGAGAGGAGAGGACAGGGAGAGGAGAGGACGGGAGAAGGGAAGGGGAGGGAACAGGAAAGGGGGAGAAGGAAAAGGAAAAGAAAAATGAGAAAACAGAAAATGACCCAAACAAAATAAAGCCATATCTAAACTCAATTAAAATTGCAATCTTTCATGTTCCAGGAGTGAACTGGAAGAAAATGAGCTGAATTAAGTGTTTCTTTTCTAAAGCATATGAATGAATCATGTTCCTGAGTGTATTATTTAGTACTTAGAAGGGCTTGATGCCAGTAGATTCTGAATCATGACAGCTTACAGGGATTAGCAGCAGTTCCAAAGAAGATACAGAAATC